AAAAAATCACCAACAGCAACACCATTAGAGCGATGATCTATTCGATTCATTATCTCCATCATCTAAAGATAAAAATGAGCTCTGACAATTAATAAGCACGCTGAAAGAAATTTTAATCACAACCTTAAGTTTCTCATCAATTCTTATTCGAGATCGAGCCAAAAGACTGGCCAAATCAACGTACAACTTGATACCCATTGTGTGCAAATCTGCCGCAAGGTAAATGCCGAGAGTCAACACAATGAGCAACAAAATACCACCGAAAGCGAGCACAAAGGAAAACGCTTCCGATATGATATTGATAATTAGTCCCAGAAAGATCAATAAATCGGCACCAAATGAACACAAGACAAAAAAAACTAACGTAATATATTTAATTTCAATCCCTAATAGATCAATTTCATTTTGCCATTTCCATATCATCTGATTGAAATTTTTCATGCTATATGAGCTTTTATTCAGTGCGAGGTAAGAATCGATTGTTTCAATCAAACTGTCCATTTGGAAACTGCAAATAAACGCTGAGAGGATCAAATGAATTCCCCTGACCCAAAGCCCGCAAATGAAAACGCTAAAAACGGTCCATTCAACTATTGACCATAAGCAAGAAGATACAATCAAAGGAATCGTTGTGAACAGTTGATAATATCGCACCTTAATTATAACCACAAGCGTTGGCATCAAGATAGCAATGAATACATTAACTCTTAAGCAATTGTAGATAAGAATATGGAAATAAATTTTGAACCGTTCAAACTTTTTCAGGGTCATTTTGAAATAATCAGGGGAATAACTATCAGCATCAATGAGCAGATATCTGTAAATTGAATTGTAATTTCCTTTAATTTCACAATTTAAAATGTATTCACGAGCCAACATCATGGTAATTAATAGGACCGTTTGAGTGAATAAGATACTATCATGATCAGCGATATCGATGATTGGGTCAGATAGAATTACCTGATTATCGGCTGCACCAAATAAGAGAATTGAAACAATTCGAACAGTAAATATTACAAAGATAAGTCGAAATAAATTGTTAATTATCTTCGATTGAATTGGTTTCCGACTATCGAACCATAAAAGTCGAACCAACCAATCTAATTGTTTGAGAAGTTCAATTGTAACATTTTCTTCAGCAGGTAAACCGATAATACGATAAAGCGAATAACTAATTCTATTGGTCAACTTTTTAGTATTTGATTCACAATTAAAGGTTTTAGTTTCCATTGGTCATTGATTGTTTATCTATCTTTTTTATTATTCAAGAAATTTACCAACGAAGAGAACTGATTAATTCTTGAAAAGTTCATTCATGGTGTTACAAGTGATAACTTTTGTGGAAAGGAAAATTAAATTGATTTTTTTGTTTATATTGATCAAATTATTAACTCATTGAGAAGCTCACAATCAAATTGATTCAGTTTGATCGTTTAATTTTGATCGATAAAATTTTTATTTTTAATCATCGATTTAAATTATTAATATAATTTGTTGATTTCACTAATGAAATAAGATCAAATTATCATTTGTGCACTTGATCAGGCCAATAGTCCCGCTCCCATTTAATCAATTGAATTTTATTGATCAAAATCAATAGTTAATCATGATTATTAAAAAATACTCTTAACAGTTTCACCTTGAAAAGTTAATTGTTAGAATCTGAATTCAATAATAGATCCTAATTTAATCAACCGATTGTTGAGATAACTTTTGCTCGATTAACTGTATTATGAATATAATTTAACGTTGATTGTTGTAGTATCAACAATAGTCTTCATGATTAAGTATTAAATTGAATTAATCAACAATATATTGGTTATACAGTCAATCTCTTTTGCTTGAGACTCTAAAAGCAAATTTCGAGACGGACGGGCAAATGAATGAGACAATTTTTTTACCCGCTAAGAAAAGCCATAAAATGTTTTATTACTTTCTCAAAATTTGAGACAAACAAAAGAAATGAATGAGACATTTTAGCAAATGTATTAGTTTTCAATTTCTTCTTCTTCTAAACGTTTAGAAATACAGCCATCGACTTTGAGTTTGCAACCACTTTCATTACATTCACGCAGGTAATGATTATCAATCAGAGATAAACAACCCAAAGATATGATAAGGATCACATTGGTTTTTGTTATTTTTTTGTGTTGTTTTGTTGATTGTTTTGTTAATTATTTAATTAAATTGTGAATAATGCCTCGAGCAATTAGTATTGATAAAAGATTGGAAATAATTAGTCAATTCAACCAAAACTATAGTCAACGTGAAATCACGCGTGAACTTAATTTAAATAGATCAACGGTCATAAGGTGGATTCAAAGGTACCAGAGTGAAGGGTCAATTGAAACTAATTATTCAAATTGTAAAGGTGTAAATGTTTTGGATGATCATGAAAAGGAATCGATAATATTGAAGTCCATTGAATCTCCATTCAAATCGTCTATTCGAATCGGTAAAAAATTACAAATTGGATGTAATTCAAAAACAATTGATCGATATTTGAAAAGCGAAGGGATTAAAACTCATCATGCCGCTTCTAAACCAAAAACAAATCAGAATAATAGAGAAGCTAGAGTTGCTTTCGCGACTATTTACCGGGACATCGATTGGACTAAATGTATATTTACTGACGAATGTTGTTTTTCGTCAGAAAAACAAGGAATTAAATTAGTTAAACAATCAAAAGGACATCGTTATAATCCCGAATTTTGTAATTACCCTGACCATTGTCATAGAAAAACAGTTTCTATTTGGGGAGCTATCACTTACAATGGACTCGGACAATTAGTAAATTTAGATAGACGATTAGATGGATCAACGTTCGTGAAGCTAATGTCGACTTATGGTGTTGATTTAATTAAACGCACGTTTGGATCTAATCATTGCTATTGGGTTGATGATAATTGCCCAGCACATACTTGTAATTTAGCTCGAAAATGGTTCGAATCAGTTGGACCTTTGTATCGTAATGAAATTAACGTTACTTTACTTCGTCTTCCTCCCTATTCTCCTGATTTAAATGTAATCGAAAATGTTTGGGGTCGTCTAAAACATGAAATGCTGTACGATGTTGTTGTACCTTCGACCGTTGATGAAATGAAAAATAATGTATTTCAATGTTGGGACAAAATTAAGCTCAAAAATCAATACACAAAAAAGTTGATTGATTCAATGTCCACTCGCTTACAAAATGTAATCTCTTCAGATGGTTATCCGATAAGATACTAAAGCTTATCTTTGGCTGATAATCATTACCTGCGTGAATGTAATTAAAGTGGTTGCAAACTCAAAGTCGATGGCTGTATACTTTTGCATATTTTTGTAATAGTTTTTGCAATCGTTTTCATCGATTACATCGGAAGCTAATTTCAGGCCATCGAACACTTCGTCGCCATTTTTAGGGTTAAGTTTCTTCACATAATATTTCAATTGATTGAAAAGAACTTCGATTGGGTTGAGAAAGGGTGAATAAGCTGGCAAATAAACAAGATGATGACCAGCATCTTCAACCAACTTTTCAACATCACCTGCATGATGAGAGCGGACATTTTGCATCACTATATTAGGCTATTCTTTACTATACCCCCTTTCGTCTCAAAATTTTTATGTGTATAGCTCCAATAATTGTCTACACATTTGTGAAAAAATTTTTACGGAAACTTCGGTGGGCGGAGTTATAGCCATTTAAAAACTCAAAATCCTTAAGAAGTCTACTTCGCGAAAATTAGGATTAAATGAAAGTGGGAGAAGCTTAGATGATGAAATTTTTTTCACATATACAGTTGACTATGAACATCTTATATATCAACTTTTAATCAAATTCGATACTAGCAACAATACGTATGCTAGGTCAATAATAGTCAAAACTGTTATTTGTATATATACAAATAACAGTCTGCTCAGATCAACATGCATTTTGACCAGAATATGTTTTGCGGTCAAAATAATTGTCAAGGTCATTTGGTCAAGATCTTGTTTATTTGCCGACGATTTGAAAGGGGGTGTAGCTAAGAATAACCAATCAAAAACTTTCAATCGATTATAATCGAATTTTCTTGCAGTCCAAAGATCGAACTTTGTAATCGATACATGAACAAGGTCTTTAATTAAGAATATAATTAGCGGTATGAGCCACTTCGGCCCATATCTTCATCAACATCATCATATGAATAAACATAGTTAATCAGTTCATCTTATGTTAGTTTTATCTTAAAATCACCAGAACTTTTCAAGGCTTTGAAAATAAGTTCCATTTTGAACTCCCAATTTGACCAATTCTTTGATGTTAATTTTTCAATACAATTGCCTTTTCAATCAATTTCCATTTTCACCAAATTAACTACTAGTATTTAAATTAACAATTTAAATATTAATAATAATTGATTCAAATATTTACTCTTAAAGTGAAACTGAAATAAACACCAACAATTAAATTAATAGTCCAAACGCCCTGGACCCATAACCTGTTGTAATAATCTTTGATGTTTACTGAACTGAGATTCAACTCTAATTAATTTTATCATTTAATTGTAATGGTTTAAGTATAAGTTGTAACAATTAGATGATTAATTATTATTCTGACAATTTAGTAGATGCGTAGTCACAGTTTAAACTGGATTAATTAATTGTAATTAAGCAACCAAATTTATAAATAAGATATTACAACGAAAACAAATGATTAATATTCTAATAAATTTAGTAAATGATTAAGTTAAATGATTAACAATTAACATAATCCTCAACAAACTTCACATTACATTTGATCACATAATTAAAAAATATCGACCAGTTGATTTGATTAGTGTTTTTAACTGTTTAAACCTTGATTTTAGATAATTAACTCAATTGACTTTTCTTTCATCGAATTGATTTATAAATTTTAATCGTGTTGCTTTTTTAATGCTCACACAATTTAATGAATGAAATTATTGATTACAATTGAAAACGAATTTAAATTTAGGTCACAAATGAATTATTAAAGATCAACACAGATCAAAACATAAACACATAAAAAATTTCCAATAATCAGTTGATTGTAATCATTATATCCCAATGAACGAAGCTAAATTACAAGTCAATAGCATGATCATGCTTGCATTTTCCATGAGAAACTTGATTAATATGAAATTAGAACAGAATAAATTAGATTATTCTTCACATTTAAATCGTTATTTACTCACATAGGGACAAGTTTCCTTTCGAATGATGAAAAAATCACCAACAGCAACACCATTAGAAGGATGATCTATTCGATTCATCATTTCCATCATCTAAAGATAAAAATGAGCTCTGACAATTAATAAGCACGCTGAAAGAAATTTTAATCACAACCTTAAGTTTCTCATCAATTCTTATTCGAGATCGAGCCAAAAGACTGGCCAAATCAACGTACAACTTGATACCCATTGTGTGCAAATCTGCCGCAAGGTAAAGGCCGAGGGTCAACATAATAAGCAACAAAATACCAGCCAAAGCGAGCACAAATGCTACAGCTTCCGATATGATATTGATAATTAGTCCCAGAAAGATCAACAAATCGGCACTAAATGAACAGTAGACGAAAAAAACTAACGATATATATTTAGTTTCAATCCCTAATAGATCAATTTCATTTTGCCATTTCCATGTCATCTGATTGACCTTTTTCATACTATATGAGTTTTTATTCAGTGCGAGGTAAGAACCAATTGTTTCGATCAAACTGTCCATTTGGAAACGTAAAATAAATCTTGAGAGGATCAAATGAATTCCCCTAACACAAAGTCCGCAAAAGGAAATGCTATAAACGCCCCATTCAGCTATTGACCATAAGCAAGAAGATACAATCAATGGAATCGTTGTGAATAATTGGTAATATCGCACCTTAATTATAACCACAAGCGTTGGCAGCAAGATAGCAATGAATACATTAGCTCTTAAACAATTGTAAATAAGAATATGGAAATAAATTTTGAACCGTCCAAACTTTTTTATGCTCATTTTGAAATAACCAGGGGAATAACTATCAGCATCAATGACCAGGTATTTGTAAACTGCTTTGTAATTTCCTTTAATTTCACAATTTAAAATGTATTCACGAGCCAAAATCATGGTAATTAGCAGGATTAATTGAGTGAACAAGATACTATCATGATCAGCGATATCAATGATTGGGTCAGACAGAATTACCTGATTATCAGCTGCACCAAATAAGAGAACTGAAGCAAGTCGGACAATAAGTAATACAGAGACCAGTCGGAATAAATTGTTAATTATCATCGATTGGGTTGGTTTCCGACTATCGAACCATAAAAGTCGAACCAACCAATCTAATTGTTTGAGAAGTTCAATTGTAACATTTTCTTCAGCAGGTAAACCGATAATACGATAAAGAGAATAACGTATTCTATTGGTCAACTTTTTAGTATTTGATTCACAATTAAAGGTTTTAGTGTCCATTGGCCATTGATTGTTTATCTTTCTTTTTTATCATTCGAGCAATTGAAGATTTGATTAATTCTTGAAAAGTTCATTCATGGTGTTACAAGTGATAACTTTTGTGGAAAGGAAAATTAAATTGATTTTTTTGTTTATATTGATCAAATTATTAACTCATTGAGAAGCTCACAATCAAATTGATTCAGTTTGATCGTTTAATTTTGATCGATAAAATTTTTATTTTTAATCATCGATTTAAATTATTAATATAATTTGTTGATTTCACTAATGAAATAAGATCAAATTATCATTTGTGCACTTGATCAGGCCAATAGTCCCGCTCCCATTTAATCAATTGAATTTTATTGATCAAAATCAATAGTTAATCATGATTATTAAAAAATACTCTTAACAGTTTCACCTTGAAAAGTTAATTGTTAGAAGCTGAATTCAATAATAGATCCTAATTTAATCAACCGATTGTTGAGATAACTTTTGCTCGATTAACTGTATTATGAATATAATTTAACGTTGATTGTTGTAGTATCAACAATAGTCTTCATGATTAAGTATTAAATTGAATTAACCAACAATATAAGATAACTACAGTTTGGTAATTTGAATGACTCTCTTCATTATCCAACAATTTAGCTCACAATTTGACGTCTAATTGTGAATTAAATATCTGAAATTAATAGAAGATCTAATTTTTTTTTCTGTAAACAATGAACATCAAACAGCAGATTATTAATGTAGCAATTTATACTCTACGACTTTCATTCAAATTGAATTATTTCTGTAACAATTAACATCAAATGTAAGTGTATGTTTGTATCAAATTGAAAGTAAATGGAAAACAATGAAGACGATGATTAAGTTAATTAGATTCATTTTGATATTTATTGATTGTTCAGTCTGATATTCATACTAAAAAAATCAGTCTTAACCAATAAGAATCAACTATTAACAATCAATTTTCTAATGGTAACAATTTAAGTGATAAAAATGAAAGATGAAATTAAATCAACTACATTGGCAATAATTTTGAGTTATCACTGATCAAATATTAAGACGATATCATTATATTTATTATATATAAGTTTGTCATTGATTCTGATCATTGATCAAGGTTATTTGTATCCCTTTACCCATCATCATCCTCATCTTTCATCATCATCATCATCATCATCATTATCATTATCTTCCTCATCATTGTCATCTCTCAGGAAAAATCTTTCAAGTCTTTTATACCAAACAACAAAAGCGTCAATCAACATTAACCTTTTTGCTTTGATCGTTGTCGTTTGTTATTATTTGCTTTTTATCAGATGATTTTTTTTATCATCCTCATCATTATTTTCATCTTCCCAATCAATAAAATTGTTGATACTCTTCACAGGTTTACAATTGATACCTGACACATATCAACTTCCCTATGGGCACAAGGAAGAGGAATAACTGTACAATTCAATATATAAACAAATGTAAATCACATGACAGAAAATCAAAAGATGAAGATAATTATAAAGATGATGATGCAACAGCTTAATACAAGTATCAACTCATAGATGATGGTCAATAAGTTGATGGACGATGACCACTGATGATGATACGGATATTGAATGACCACCAAACTTATTCAATGTTATAAAGGTCATTGAGTGTCCTCGTTTTTGAAATGAATGAAAATTTTGCAGTTTCCATTTCATGATCATGATGATGATCATTTTATCAAGATGAAATTCAAACATGAATTTGAATTTTGGTGGAAACATTTTTTTTTGCATTTTTTTTGTCGCTTTTTTTTGGTTCCTCCAATTCTGATGCTGAAAATTATGTCAACTTGAAGTGATGAACATGATGATGGTGGTGAAACATTTCCATGTATGATTTCATCAAGAAAATGTCATTATCACCATGAGAAAATCATTAATTCTTATTCTCAATACTCATCTCTATCTAAATCATCTCCCTGAAAAGCACATTACGATTGGTGAGAGTGGGAGAAAAAGTTCTTGATGATGTTTACATGTTCCTTGGAGCTAACATATATTTTTCAGACCATTAGATTACTTATCATCATCTTCATCCGGAAAATTCGATGATCTTTATCAGGGTTGAAATATTTATATTCAAATGGATGAGATCTTGAACTTTTCTTTCTAATAAAAAAGTTCTCAAACTGCAAAGGTAAATATTTATCTCTGAATTGGAAATTGTTTTGCAATGTCAACCTCTTTCAATTGTATCTATTTATACATGTATCATGATGATGAACAAAAAGAAATCTGAATGAATCATTTTTTATATAATTTTCGTATCAGAATGAGAAATACAGCCAAGTAATAATAAAAGAATATGAAAAAGGAGAAGGGAAAAAAGAGTTCGAAAAGATAAATGTTAGAACATTTTAAGAGCTATTTAGTTAAGGAAATGTGATCATCGATGTCGATTGACATTCAGTTCATTTATCACACTCAGAATGCTGAATAATATCATTTGAACAATTCTGACAATCAATGAGATGGTTACATGCAACTTGGAAGGAAATTTCAATGGATATAAATTTGACTTTAACTTTTTCTAATCTCAGAGAATTGAGATCAACATTCATTGATACCTTTATCTAATAGATAGATTATCATGAGCTCGTTGTAAATTATATGATTAAGAAGAGAATCTTTAACTTTATCTGTAATTAGATCAAAGATATTCTGTTTCCATGATCTTCGGTGAGAAAAGTGGGCTTAGAATGAGAGGAAAATGTTACATGGTAGGAATACAAAGGTATCTATTTCTGACACTGAGCCAAAGTTATCATGATAATAGGGAGAAATCTTGAATTCTTATTATCATGTATTATTATCATCAACAGGGTTAACATTGAATTGGAATATGAACTGAATTAAGTTATATAAAGAGAGAGAGAGGGAGAGAGATAAAGAGATTCAATCTGATTATATTTGTAAGAAAATTCTCTGAATTCTTTGAGATAGAAATAATTCTGTATATGATTCTGTTAACACTCAGAAAAACAGTTACATTCTTGATTCTGTAGATCAAGATAACATTGGGAGTGGCGAAAGTTATCACTTTGTTATCTTCAATTATCGTTGAATTTTTATCATTCTCCATGATGATAATATTTCATGAGGTTATCTTTTTTATCAGCTGTTCTCTTTCCACTGTCAACAAACACACTTTTTTGACAGTTGATGGAAATGAATCTATCATGTAAAGTTATCGTTCTCATGATGAATATGAGGTTAAGACATGGAAATGAAGTTAAAAAGTTATCAAACATTAGATTCTCATCTTCTCATGATAACTATTAATTGATTCTATTATTATGTATATTAAGTAATATTTCTATGTTGTAATTTGCATGCTTATTGCATGTTGACTTTTGTATTGGTTGATGATTAAAAGGATAACCCTTGATGATGAAATTATGGTTAACCTATTTTATTTAATATCCACTGAGTAAAATGATACAGACTAATAATATTAGCATGATAATGATGATACTCAGAGTAGAGTCAGAATCTCCTTAGAATGTTATTTTTTGGATGAAATTTTATCATGATATTCAGTTACAGGCTATTTGAAGTGATAACGTGATGTTCACAGGTCACGAGTTTTTTTATTTCATATTCTGAAAGTTCATGATAATAGTGATGATGAAGATATTTTAAGATTCATGGTGATGGAGGAAATAATATTATTAATGATGTTATTTTTTCTTGGACTCAGGGAAGATGTGAATATAATGAACATTGAGATATTAATAGATGATAATAATGATGAGAATATGAATTTTTTTTAAAAAAAAAAGTTCTAGAAGTTAAAAGATATTCAGTTATTCACATTGAAATGTATCAAGTGACATTTCTAATGATTCAAATGTAAAAAGTGACCAACTTAATAGTGTCCATCATCATCTTCTCAATGATGGTTGATTCAGAACTTTTCTCATTCCAGTTACATGATCTAAATCAACGAAAAATAGAAAAGTAAATTGCGAATACATTTAAGATTAAGGTGAGAAAAAGCTCTTAAATGGAAGGAGAAATGAAGATGATAATGATGATACGGAAGAAAAGAATAGAGGTGGGAGTGAGATTCGAATGATAGAAAAAAAGAATCTTAATACAATGGCTTCCAATCTCTTCTCTCGGTGATTTTTTTCCTCGATAGATGAACTCTTCATGTAAAAGTTTTCTATTCTTTCTCATCTCTCAAGAACGATATAAAGAATAAGTGTACAAAAAGATGAAGAGCTCGAGGAAAAAATCTCTAAACGGAAGTGGCCAGGGTGGATTTAACATGCTTCCGGAATTTGAACAGAACTTTATCATCATGTCAAAGTAAAAAGAATGTGGAAAAATAGTAAGATGATAATAGTGGAAGAAGAAGAGGAGATTGAAGGATGATTGTCACTGAAGAATTGAAAAAAAAATGAAATGACAAGAAGACAGAAAAAAAGGTCACAGGAGAAAGTTTCATGTTCATAGAAACTCAATGTAACCAGAACTTTTTTTTCAGAAACGTTAGACCGATAGATGGTCAATAGATGTGATCCCATCATCAACGAAATCCCTAGAGGAAGAGCAACAATGATAAACGATAGAGTCAATTCTTGTTTAATACCAATTATCCTACGATTTTCATCCTCCGATTATCTAGTCTACATAATTATCATCAGACTATCAAACTTAATGGTCACCAGGCAATAACTCTTGTCCATTAACATTTCTCATCTTGTTCAACTCTCCATTTACCTTCACATTACAACCTTGTAATACCTTCATCCTCATCTTCCTTGTAATTTTTATCCTTTCAACTTCCGCTTCCGATGAAAACAAAAAACTTTTCCCTCTTTCTTTTTGTCATCTAAATTTGTTCAATCAACATTCATTACCAACTTTCTCCGCCATGATAACCACTTCCCACCACCTTCTAGTTAATTATCCCACCTCTTTCAGCCGAGTTTCTTATTTTTACCCCTCAGCAATTAGCTTTCACTCTCACTTAATTTGCCTCCCGTATTTAAATTAATTAATCATGAGCGAAA